CAGCAACAGATCCTGAGACGGAACATAAGACCAGGGTTGGTAAGTGCAGGATGACAATACTCTTGCAAGATGAGATTGCATACTTGTCCATCCCTAACGCCATCCCCAGATATTCTTCTCCTCTTGCAATTTGACCGAAAGAGAATCCAGCTCAGAACCACCTCCACCTGGCCGGGGTCCTCCTGGCCTAGTGTCATCTGCTCATCTTTCAGGTGGTCTCTGTCTTCCCAGGCTCTTTCCCATCTCATGCATCTGACAGATCAGGAATCAGCAAACTACAGCCCTGGACCAAATCTGACCCACTCTGATAAGGTCCATACACTAAAGATCATTGTTACAGTTTTAAATGTCAAAGAAATGAAAAGAAAAATGTTTCACAGCATGTGGCAACTATACCAACTTCAAAGTTCACAGCCTCTAAATAAAGATTTATTGGAAAATCATCCTGCGTGCCCATCCATATGTGATTGTCCATTGCTACTGTGAGCTACCATAAAAGTTAAGGTGCTCTGATGGGCCACAAAGCCTACAGTATTTATTATTTGCTCTTTAGAGAAGCAATTTGCCAGTCCCTGCTGGAGACTGTCCTTAGACTAACCTTTAGTCATCTTTTTTATTTTTTATTGTACTCATTCCAAAACTTTGGAAAACTTCTATCTCCCCCTTAAAGCGATGACACTTGGTTAGTCTGACTCCCCTGCACTTGGACCCCAGAGTTAGTGACTCACTTCATTTCCTATGCACACTCTCAGAAACCCTTCCTTCTGGGCAAGCTGAACTCTAAGCTGCACTGCGGCTGCATGAGAAAACCTTCACCTGGTTTACTGTTCTGGCCTGGCAACCTCTCCCCATTTCCTGCCATCTAAACCTTCCATTTTTCATTCCACTCCAAATTCCCATGTCCCCAATCAACAGGACTTCCCTAACTGCTTTGCCAAATTATTCTCCAGCGTATTCTATGGAACAAAGATGCTGAAGGACATCCTTGGAAAAAGAAAAACGCTGTAGGAGACCTTTCTCAGAGGCACAATACACGTATATGGCCTATTAAAGGCTCTGAGAAGTCCTGCAGTAAATAAAAGCACCTGTTTTCCTTTTGCTTCACTCAACTCCTCCCAAACTCATTAACCAGAGAACCTGTTTGGTCCACAGAACACTTTTTTTACCACAAGCATCCGGGACAATGCCTGAACTTGGCATGCACTAAAAAGAAAAAAGAGTAAAAACTGCTAACACTCCATAGAATCGGGGTTCTACAGAACATGCTTTGGAAATGTCCCTCACATTCCTCCTTCTCCCCCTCTACTTTGCCACATCATCTATTTCCATGTCATGTCATGCAAAGCATCTCCTGCCCATGGCTGTCATTTATTTAGCATCTGCATGTACTGTGTCCAGCTTAGTGCTAGATCCTTAAAAGTATTATCTTTTATAATCCTTGCAACCACCCCCTGTGGCAGGTAATATTCTATGATTTCTGTTTTGCCCAAAAAGTTAAATTATGGGTCAATGTTTAAATTATTGGCCCAAGATTTTTATTTTTAAAAAGTGAAAAAGAGTCAGGCATGGTTGCATGTACCTCTGATCCCAGCATTTGGGAGGCTGAGGAAGGAGGATTGCTATAAGTTCAATGCCAGTCCGGTATATATAGTAAATTCAAGGCCAGAATGAACTATCTAGTGAAATTCTGTCTCAAAAAAATAAAAAATAAAAGATAAAAAAATCTAAAACTCAAAGCTGCATAGTCTAATTCCAAAGCTCATGAACTTTCTTTCCCACCAAGAGCATCCTGTGGCCATTACTGCTGGCCATTCACCCAGTATTCACCCATGCAACTTCCAAGATAGTAGAACCTTATTACAGTGCAGCAGTAGATCATTCCAGGCTTTAAAGACCACAGTGGTGTTCCCGTCTCCCATTCCCCGCCTCCCTTGCAGCTAGGATTAGCCATCTGATCTTGTTCAGGCCAAGAATGCATAATTAAACATCGTGGGTGGGCTTGGGAGGAAGAGGTATCCTGGGGAAATCTTTGTTTTCTAAAACCAAAAATATGAACCTTTCATCCCTTCACATTCCCTGTTTCCCTCTGTTCTACAAATGTAACAGCTCAAGTTGCAGAACTCATCTTGTAACCATAAGAGAAAGACATCAGCCCCAGTATTATTGTCCTACTGAGTCAACCCAAGCAGACCAGAACCTCCAGACCTCTTATTACATGAGGAAAAAGCAGCACTGTTTGCTTCCCACCGTTAGTGGGTTTTTCATTTCACACAGCTGAACACATTCCTGTTGGACCCATATACTATGTATAATATTGCGAACTGTTTAGATCTTATCATTATTTATAGAGGTATTCTTCGCCTTGCCTCTCATCCATGAATTATGCTTGAAAGCCAAGTTGTATATTTTCATTTCTATGGGAGTAGACACATAAATCAAACATGGTGGCAGATGCCTGTAATTCCAGCACTTGGGAGGCTGAAGCAGAAGGGTCACTGTGAGAGTGAGGCCAGCCTGGGCTCCACAGTGACTCCAAGAACATCCTGAACTACACAGTGAGACTCTGTCGCAAAGAAATCTTAAAAAGGAGTAGAAACTATATTACCAGACATTGCTTATTATCAAGGTTTTGAGGGATGATCTATTCAATTTATTATTAACTTGAGCATTTATAAGCAGTGAGTTTTCACCACTAAAGAGATGAAATATGACATCTGTCTCCTAATAGATTCTGCAAGTGTTCACATGAAAACTTACACCAGAAACATGAGGACTGTTTTAAGAGTGTGGATTCTTGGACTCTCTCTCCGACTCCAAACTGAGTTAGAACCCCTGAGGCTAGCTGCTGAGAACCTGCATTTTGAACCTGCACTTTGGTGTGGCTTTGATATATAAAACTTGGGACCCGCTGGGGTAGAAAACTGTGGATACAAACATGAGGTCAGGCAGGACTTGACCTCATGTCACCAGCCCTTCCTTAGCAGCCCCTTCCTGGCCTTAGCGATCTTTGAAGCCTAAATTGGCATAGATGCTCCAGAGGAGTCCCTGAGTAGTATGGAGAAAGTAGCCGGCATTCTCTCTGGTGTGGTGGGACCAGAGGACTCCACAAGATCCATTCCCTATAACTGCAACTGCTCATCTCCACCACCACCTCCTCACCACACCAACACCTCCATCCCCCAGTTTGGATGGAAAATCTCTCTGCAGAGAGCAAACAACAAAACCATGTCCACTGCAACAATTACCACTGTCCTGGGAATCACTGGAGGATGGAATGTGTCTGAGGAGAAAAGGAAAACAAAACTCTGGAGAAACTCACAAGGCAATGCACAAACAAGTCTCAGGAATTCCTATCCTAAAGCACAAAGGAGACCTCGCACGGCCTTGGGCACTCGTTTATTTATGATTTACTGCCCCCGGCTCTGAACAGAAGCTGCTCTAGGGCACTGTTCAGACAGAAGCAGGGGCTGGGTCAAAACGGCCCACAATTCCTCTAGAAGCCAAGTGTCAGCCGTGGCTTGTCTCTGAGTTCTGAGAAAGGCAATACCTGCACCTCCCAACCCGCTTCCCACTCCCTCCCAGTCCCCTTTGACATTTATCTTATTTCCTTTCCAAGGATCATGTTCCCAGATGACAGGTGCACACAGACCTGTATCCTAGGATAGCGAACATTATATTAAAATACACACGAGCGCACACACACTATCAAAAGGATGACCTCCTGCATATTGACATCCAGCCAAATTTAAAACTATGGAAGAAAAACAAGACCTCAATGCCTCAGATTGGAGAGACCCAGGCTAGAACATGACAGCTACAACACTCAGTAAAGACTGAAGAGTTCAGGCCTTGGAAACCCACAGGCCAGAGTCAGGCTAAACTTCCCAGCAGGGCACATGCCTCCTCCACCGGAGGGGGAACCCTGCCCTACTGCCACCGCCCTGGGCTACTGCCAGCTAAGGGGAATTCCCAAATTGAATCAAGCCATGTGGACAGCTGGACCATTTTGAGGAAAAGCAGTGAGTCGAATCCTCCAGATCTTTCGAACAAGCTGGATGCCCAATGATTTCCCCGACGCCAGGCACTTTCCAAGCCTCCTGAAAACCTTCCTCTGACCAAAACGGTCTTTGGAAGGAATAATTTCTGCCATCTTCCTAAGTAACTTTGCATCCCCCCCTACTGCCAGCCCACCCCTCAAAATCCTGCTAGAAACTCCCCCTTGGAGTTCAGTTGAAAACAATGTTACAACGTGCCAAAGCTGACTCCTCCTCCAGCGCCCCTTTCCGCGAAGTCCCACCGCGATCCAAGAGGATTTTCCCACGCCACCTGCGCGTGCCTATCCAGGCATGCATATTTTTTTTCTTTTTACACATGTTAGGCCTTCCACAGCTCATTGCATCAAAATAACTGTTTTGGATATGGATAGCTCAATAGGGATTTATTTTCTCATACATTTTGCTTCCTAACCTGTGTATTACTGAGGAGGGGACAGAATAGAGTCCACGGAGCAAAAGGGAAGCTGGGGAGGAGGCCGAGAAGAGGGCTCTATGGACAGTCAGCCCCATCCTGGGAGCAAAAACCACCTCTGACCACCTGCAGAATGCGCAAGGTCACGTGGGTTCTCTGCAGCTCCTAAACGTATCACCCAGCACACAAACCCCTGTGGCACATAAACAAATCCACAAGCGGAAAAAAAAAGAACTCCTTCCTCCAGGAGAAAGCTAATGATAATGGTAACAGCCGCAACCGTAATAATAAATACAGAATAACAATTACTACCGCTACTACCACCACCCAGCCGAGCATAGACAACAGCCGCACCGTAAAGGGACTTCCAGAGCAGGCTCTGCAAGAAGATAAATCACAGAACACCGATCCGTGCCCACCTGGCTTACCCAACCCCCTCCCGACCCCCAGCGAACACAACCAGAGGGGAAGAAGGTGGTGGGGAGAAGGGAGGGAAGGCAGGATTGCTCCCCCCTCCCCCAGGCAACACCTACCTCCAGAGTCCGGATTTCTTTTTGTGTGAGGTCGTTGGAGGTAGCACATTTGGTCCTAAGCCCTTCCAGGTTGGAGATGCTCAAGTCTATCATGTTTTGGACCAACTCGCACTGCTGTAAGGCTTTTTGCAAACTCAGAGGTTGCTGCTCCTCGGTTTTCGTCATGTTTTCCTCATCCATCGCTTGTTCTGCAAACCCCCCTTCCCCTCCTCCTCCTCCCAGAGAGAAAATAGAGGGGGAGGGAGTGGAGGTAGAGGGAGTCTGCCCCCTAAGCCTCTCCAACCACTGCGACTTCTCAACAATGTCTCATGCAGAAGAAACCCAACATCTCACACAGGGCTGAGGGGGTGGGGAGTGGGGGGAGGAGACAAGAGCCAAAATTTATTATTTTATTTTGGGGTATCAGGCTGTCTCCATTAGAACGTCTCTTCTCTGTCTGTCTCGCTCTCGCTCTCGCTCTGAGTCTCTGGTCCCTGAAAAAGGAGAGATGCCGTCTCTCAGAAGCGAACCAGGTGATGCGATGCCGTCTGCACACTTAGGGAGGAGGAGGAGGAGAAAGAGGAGGAGAAGGGGAGAGAGGAGGAGGGCGCACGGAGGAGGAGGAGGGAGGAGGAGGAAGAGAAGGAAAATAGCGCTCACTCTTTACACACCGGCTCCGTGAAGGACAGAATTGTGTATTTTTGGCTGGCTGGCTTTTATGTCAAAAAAGCGCGAGTTTGCCCCCTCCCAGTGGTAGTGACACGGCATGGTCCGCCGCGCGGTGCGTAGCGCGCTCAGGACGCCGTCTGCAGGGCTCGCGCGGCTGCGGCGGCCACTGCGGCTGCTGCTGTCTCCTCCCCGCGCCGCCGCCGCCGCTGCCGGGCTCCGGGGGTGACGGCCGCCGCAGCCGCTCCCGCCCGGCCGCACACCGACATCTTGCCTGTCAATCACAGCGGGCGCGGGGACGAGGGGCGCGGGCTGGCGGAGGGCGCCGTGCGCGCGCCGGCCGCGGGGGGCGGGGGGGCAGGAGGGGGAGCGCGCGGCTCGCGCACCTGGCGGGGGCGGGGCGGGGGCGGGGCCTCGCGGGGCGCGCGTGGCAAAGTGGAATCACTCCCGGGCGCGTGCGTGCGAGCGAGCGAGGGTGCGATCGGCGGGCGGGCAGGAGGCGGGGGGCAGCGCGCGCCGGACCGGGGCTGCTCCGGGGCGGGGGGGCGGCGGGAGCGAGGAGGCGGGGAAAGGGGTTCGGTGGCCGGGTGGGGGTGGGGGTGGGGGCCACTACTCCACGGCGATCTCGCGAGACGAGGCCGCTGCACCGCGCAGCAGGTGCGCTCCGGCGGCGAGCAGGTGTGCGCCCAACTTTAAAACCCGGAGCGCGAGCCGCGCAGACGTCCGCGTGGACCTGGGCACGTCCTCTCCGGACGCCTTCTGGCCCGCTGTCTGTGGGTTCCTTTTTGCTCTTTTTTTGATGCGCAAACCTGAGGATTTCCCCTGGGCTGTAGGGAGGCTGCCAGGTCCCGATTTGGTGCCCTGGCTTGCTCCAGTACGGAAAAGGGGCGTCCTCTTGTCTTAGCTTTTTGTGGTTCTGTGGATTGAACCCAAGGCCTTCGCGCTGAGCTATATCCTTGGCCCCTCCCAGACCCCGCCCCCTTTTTTTAAATTGTGAGACTGGGTCTCCCCAAGTAGTTAAATCGCCCCTACCCTGGGCAGAACTCAGGATCCTCCTGCCTCAACCTCCCAGACTGCTGAGCTTACAGGCGTGGGCCACCAGTCCCCAGGCTTGTCTTCCTCTGATTGTTGCTTTAGAAAGAGCTGTTTGGTCCATCCCAGTTCACTTAACCAACATTATACTTTACTGTAGCACCAGAAACTTGTTTGTTTTTGAGACAGGATCTCACTATGTAGTGCAGACTGGCCTTGAACTCACTTATTTAGTGTAGGCTGGCCTGGGTCCTCCTGCCTCGGCCTCCTCAATGCTGGAATTACACACATGTGAACATGCGTCATCACACCGGGCGCTGTAGTACCAGAATTTAACATGGGTTTTACGTGTTAAAAACAATTGGAAGAAAAATAAAAAGAATACATTGTGAATGAGAAAAGTATATGAAATTCACGTTAGTATCTGTAAAATTTTATAGGAATGTCACCAACCATTTGTTTCCTGTCTGCGGTTACTTTTGCCCTTTAACGGTAGAAGTAAGGAAGTTGCCACAGACTAATGGCTCACACACCTGAACTGTTTACTCTGCTTCACTGCAGAAATGGTTGCCAACCCCGATTAAATCTTTGTGTTCTTAGTCTGTTCCATTTCCCACCACACTTCACCCTAATCCTCTCCTGGCCGACTCCTTCTCATCACTCAATGCCAAATCAGTCTAAAGTCATCTCAGAGAGGCCTCTGACCACCTTGTAATGTTCCCCACGTTTGTTCCCCAGAGGATGCATACAGAAGAATTAGCAGCCAGGGTGGCGGTATTGGTACCTACCTGTAGCCTATATACACAGACAGACAGACAGACAGAGAAAAAGAGAGACTCTTTCTCCCTGTGGACAGAGCCCATGTTCGAGAAATGGGCTTGTGGGATGGTGTGAAACTCAAGACATAATATATCACTCCTTCAAGTCACCTCTCCAAGGAAGTCACTTGAGAAGTATGACAGCCGAGCTGAGTGCAAAAATAAGGTTTTTGTTTTCTTTGGTTTTTGGTTTTTGGTACTAGGGATCAAACTCACGACCTCGCACTTGCCGGGCAGGCAGCTGTGCTGCTGAGCTATATCCCCAGCCCTACCGAGTGGCAAAAATTAAAATTAAAATTAAATTTTTGGTACTGGGGATTAAACCCAGGGCCTTTGTAATGATCTATATCCCCAGCCCTTTTGTTTATTTGTTTGTTTGTGGTTTTTTCCATATTTTTAGTTTTGTGTCCACACGCGTGTGTGTGTGTGTGTGTGTGTGTGTGTGTGTGTGTGGTTTTGTCACTGTCGTGGTCCTTGTCCTTGTTATTTGACACAAGTTCTCAGTGAGGAACTAAGCTCCGAGCCTGGCTTTGAACTTGTGATACCTCAGCCTCCCTCGAGTGCTGAGATTAAAGGTGTGCACTACCATGCCCAGCGAAAATATAAAAATAAAAAGTAAATAAATTTTAAGACTATAGGCCATAAGATTTTATAGCTTGTACACAACCAAACCAGTACTTTCAAACTCTGTGGAGCCGGGAATGTAGTTGGTGGTGGATCATTTGCCTAACACATACAAGGCCTGAGTTCAACCCCAGCATCACAAAAACAGAAAAACCCAAAATCTCTTTGTCAGTGAGGCAGTCAAGTAAATTCTCTGGACTCCCAATATTTTAGATCATGAATTTAATGGATTCTGATTATCTGGTAAAATTATCTCTCTTTTCACCCACTTTCCCCAGGTTTTTCTTGAACATATTAATAATGGTTATTTTAAAGCCCTGTCTAATGCCAATACTGTGTTCACGTGCCCATCTCTTTTTATTGACTATTTTTTCTCTTTGTTTTCAATTATTTGGTCCTATGTCTTGGCAGGACCTGTGATTTTTGTTCAATACCAGTTATTGTGTATGGTTTTTAAAAAATAGTCTCAAATTCTGTTAACTAGTTCGGGAGAGGGCTCACACTTTTGCTGGAAGTCAAGTAACATGGGACCAATATTCCTTTTTTCTCTTCTTTTTCTTTCTTTGCTTTTCTCCTCTTCTCCTGTCTTCTCTTCTTCATTCCTCCACCCTCCCCTCCCCCTCCCCCTCCCTCTCCCCTCCCCCTCCCCTCCCCCCTTCCCCCTCCCCCTCCCCTCCCCCTCCACACTATATCTCCTGCCATTTTTTACTTACCGAGGGACCTCACTGACTCACTACATTGCTCAGTCTCCCAGAGTTCTGGGGTTATCGGCACACACCAGCACTCCAGGCCTGCTTCTCCTAGTTCAATCAGGAGTTGCCCTGGATGGAGGCTGCGTTTCACTTTTGATAACTTAGGCTTCCACCTAAGTATTTGCCTTCCCAGCTGAGAACCTGCTAGGGTCTTTCCTCCCTAGTCCTGGACACTAACCTTGTCGCCATGGCACAGCAAGATTTCAGGAAACTGTTTTTCCAAGAATTTTTGCTTGATTCTTTGCCTTTTGCCCTGTACCAGAATTTGCTAAATATCTTGAGGAGAAAACTGCCAACTCCCAGGCTCCCTGGCTTTCTATTCCTCCTCTCTCCCTCGGAGATCAGCCTCAGAAGTCCCAAGTTTTGTCTCTCCAGCCAAAAATTCTGCTGGTCTCTGTGTGCCCTGACAGGAGGCCTCTCCCCCAGGAAAACTTTAGATTCTTGACTTCTTTCCCCGGACCCATATTTGTAGATACTGCCAGGGGAAAAGTGGCCACAGTACATCTGCTCCGCTCACCACAGTTCCCTTGTGTGTAGAATCTCAGCCCTGGCAGTCCTGGTTACTTCTACAGGTATCACAACACATTTAGTAGAGGAGGGGGAAGGAAGGGGAAGAGTCAGCTGGATTTTTTAGTTGTTCTTAGAGGAAGTAAAAGTTTAAACAATGAAAATAATCAGGAGCCAGAGGTCATTAATGGCAGGCTATAAGCAACACACGAAGGCATATCCCTCCTATGTGTGAACATGCCCCGCATTGGGAGACCAAAGCACTTTTCTAGAAGCTTCTTCACATTTCATGGGATCTGGACTCTGCCGTTAGACACATCACAGGGAACGAAGAACTAATGCAGAAGACTCTACCCAGCGGTAACAATGCCCCAGTACTCTGTTTCCAGGACTGCACCCGACCCTCAGTAAGCCATAGTGTCCTTCCTGGCACAGGGCTCAAGGGGAGACCCACAGTCAGTCTGGGCGTTTTCCCTGGCCCTGCAACCTCGGGCTGACTGTCTCATTCTCCTGGAGATTCAGGCCACCATCATAAAGTACCGTGTGACTGAAGCCACAGAAATTTATTTTCTCACGGTTCTGGAAGCTGGCAGTCCAAGAGCTGGGTCAATGGCGAGGGCTCTCTTTCTGGCTTGCACATGGCCGCCCTGCTTACTTTTCAATGTCCTGATGTGTCTAATGGCAGACAGAGGTAAAGATCTCAAGAGCTCTCTCTCCTTAGAAGGCCACGGTCCTGTTGGATTAGGGCCACGTGCTTATGACTCCATCTGACCCCAGTTACCCCTAATGCATATCCAGACACACTGAGGCTTCAGGATATAGACTGGGAGTGGGAAGGACACGATTCTCCACTCTATTAAAGTACTTCTGCTGGAAGCACCTGCAATAAACAGCCATTACTCTTACAATATGTCCAACATCAGGGCATGATATCAAGCAGTGTAGATTCTAGGCCTTTCGGGGGGGGGGGTCTGTCTATACTGGGCAGCGTGGGCTGGAGG